GTACAGGGAAGTGGTCTGACATATCGATATTCAAGACTCTAAATTCTTTAATCATATTTAGGGCAGTTTCCGAACAAATTATATAGTCAATCACAGATTTGCCTAAGCTAGACAGGTAGGTATATTCCGCAGGACAGTCGCTTGGGAGTCGTCCATTCAAAATATATAGATTATTATCTTGTACAAATTCTAGTAATGATTTTCCTCCTAAGTTACTTACTTTATCTTTAGACATTCTGATATTGTCAATAATTCCATTGTTATTTTTGTTTTTTGTATCCATTGCTTCACCTATTCGACTATTAGCATCACCCCCAATTATCCACAAATCTGTAATATTAGTTCTTTGTATTATCTTATTTTGAATTTCTACTAAGGTTCTCTTTTTATCGGAATTTGGTGGGAGATATATAAGTATAATTCCTATACGTGTTTCTCTCCAGCGTGAACTTAGATGTTGACAGAGTTCTAATTCAGCTAGGACGTAATTGTTATCAGCAATCCAAAATCTCAATTTACCTAGATTTTTATTAATTAACAATAAGAGTCCTCCAAAAGGTCGACCGAATTTACTATTTCTTTGACCTTTACTTTCCAATACTAAGAAGGTTCGTTCTAAATAAGTTTTATCTTCTATTTTTAGCTGGATCAACCAAGTTTCAGACAAACCAATAACTGTATTGGAAATCAAGTATTTATAAAATGTATCTGTGTATAGCTTTCTTTGGATACCTTGTATATTCCAGAATCCAAAACGAATTTTGTAATTATACCTTTTTGTATATTCACCTTCTTCTAATGGTAATCCAACTACTAAGTTTGTCAGCTCTATTCTATGTCCTTGTTGGTTATTATTTTCTAGTATTACTAGGTTTATAGAATCTTCTATTCTTTGATTATTCATAGAAATGAAGGATTTTTTGATATATTTATTTGATTGACCTTTTAATTTAGGCCTAAAAAACCCCTTACACGTATCGCTTTTTGTAAGTGGAGATCGTATGTATAGATATTCTCTCCCTTTATATAATAATCATCTCTCATTATTATTTTAATGCCTTTGGCTTTTTCTTGTTGAAATATTGGTATCAAATTTTTCCTCCTCAATCTCGATCTTCTACAGAGATCTGTTTTGAATATAATTTTTTTATGTTCGTCTAAATTGATTTTTGCTCTCTTAGACCAGAATTCTTTAAGTATTAAATTTCTGTCATATGTTGAGGATAGAGCTATTTTCACCATAGGCTTGTATTCATTATTAGTTAGTTTAATTATACTATCTATTGAACTATTTGTTATCCCTAGTTCTCTTGATATAAATTGTTCGATTTCTTTTAGATATTCCGGAGTTTCAAACGGAAAATTAATAATTACTATATTTTTGTTCGTTTTTTCATTTAATAATTGATCTATTTCAAATTCTAGCTCACCTTTTGTGTGGGAATTATCCTTAATTATTGAATCCATTTCTTCCAATTCTTGTGCTACTCTTTTGGATTCCAATTGGTAAACTCTGTTTTCTTCTTTCAGATAATTAACTTCTGATTTGATATTTTGTAACTCGATGTTTAATTGATTGAATTTTTCTTGAATCAAATCGTATATGGATTTCAGCGAATATTTTTGTTCTTCTGCTGTTGGAGTGTCTGCTCCTTGTACGGTATGAAAGTAGTCTTGTATTTTTGGAGTTCTCCCATCGTTTAATTCCTCTCTATCATACTCCTGTTCTTCAGGCAGAATTTCTTGACTGGAATTAGTTCCAGATATTCTTATTTTTTCTGTAGCTTTAGGAATGACACTGCGCGGCCTCCCACGCCCCTTCTTTTGCATATCTGTGTGGCCGCCACGTTGAGGAGATCTAGGCAAAGGTCCTGGGTTAGGTTCTATACCGGAAATAAGCAATAGGTATAATATTACTAGCAGAGAAAGACATTTGTTGTACTTCCACTTAAATTGAGGTAGCATTTTCCTCCAAGAGCGAATCATTATCACACAATGTTGTATCAACTCTTCTCTTAAGATTATCGCGCCAACACCTTCGACAGTCGAGACACTCCCCGCCCAGATAATCAGATTATACATCTTTCTAGAGAAGGATGTATAATTTCACTTAAACAGGCATTCCGGGTTAAGCCAACAAGCTGGTGTGGCTGTATGCCATAATTTTAAGTCATAATAGAATATTCTAGTTTGTAACTTTTGTCCTTGATTCTTGTTTTTTCCTGTTTCTAGAATCTTCTCTTGTCCTCATTTCTACTTCACTCAGTTCATGATTGATGTTCTGAACAATCCTGTGGGGAGATTAATTGCCTAAGGGCCTAAAGGGGAGAGGTAACGGTTTTCAGATCAGGAAGGAAAGTTCAGACTGGGGGAAACAGTGTCAATCCTGACCATAGCAAGGGACTTTCTTGAAGGTTTCATGCAACAAGAATCCTGAGGCTTCAATTAATCATAGATGAAGACAGTCTCCTTTAATCCCCAATAAAAGAATACATTAACCTCTCCAAAAGGACGAACAAGGAAATTTTACTGAGAAACATCAAAAATAATCATCACTGTAACAAAAGAATTGACTGAGTACGGGTATTTCTTTCTTATTCCTTTCCTTTTGTCTATTTTAATTTCCTATTTCCTCTCTATAGTTATACGTTAGTCTTAAGTTAGTTGTAAGGAATGTTTGTAATACATAGTTGCACCTATTTAACAAAATTGTAAGATGTGGGAATCTTTTTGTTTTGTCGCATGCAACAAAACAAAAAGATCCATGTGTTGGGTCTTTTTTTGTTTTCTTGGCTGGGCAAACTGAACTCTTTTTTTTTTTGTGCATTGTGTCATCATTTCTCATTAAATCAATTGTTATTTTAATTTTGTACTATCTTAATCATAGTGTATTATCACTCTCGTGGCTATTCGACACAACTGCACATTTCATATCGGCTCTTATCATACGGAAATATTTGATTCCCCTGGATGGACTGGCATGCTGGTCCATCTATATATATATATATATATATACAGGGTGTCTCAGTTAAACGTTTCAGAACTTCTAAGAGGAGTAGGGTGCATCCTGACGACTCAGAATCATATAACAATGTGGTGTCAGAAATGCTTTCCTGACAAGGTAGATGGCATTGCACAAAGTTCCAAGCATTCTTGCAGGGAATCATCATTTTGCACAAGGATTTAGAGTTAGCTGATATGCATTTGGTGTACAGACCTGCAGATTGTAGTAGGCCAGCTGCACAGTGCTTGTACGCAGAACAATATCCGATGAGGTGTATTCTCAGCCATAATTTCTTTATATAACTCCTACACACACACGGGTTGTATAATAAAAATTCCACTTACTTAAGCCTGTAACTGATGTGAAATGGTAAAGTTGAGGACTTATCATCTAGGCGTTAACAACCTACAGCTATCGTTACAAACAACTAGTGCTTTCAACAAAACTATTTTCGTCTTCTTCAGGTTGAAAGAACAATTAATAACCTTCAAATTCAAATTGCAGCAATGGCAAACCAGCATTGGAATAAAATAAATAAATAAATAAAAAACACCTTACCAAACACCTTCTGTATTCTTCCTCAGGTATTCTAGCTGGATTTTTTTATTCTGGAACACCATTATGAAATTTTAAAATAAAATAAAAATAAAACGAACGATGATAGTTTGATTGCCCAGTGTCCATCGTGCATGCGTTGTACACATCGTGTTCTCCGCTGATCAGATTTGCATTAAATCTTCTAATCTGCATGTATTTTCTTTTTTCATACAATGCAATATTCTTATGTTTGATGTAATGTGTCCCCATGCATCATCAGATATTAAATCAATCCTTAAGAACCACTATGCTATATGGCCTGCCAAGCCAATGAAATCACTATGCAATATGGCCTGCCAGAGCCACCATGTCACTCTCAGAACATGCTTCTGACCTGGATATTACTGTTGACTTCACAGGGGCAGCGTTAATAGTTAAAATGAAACAGGTGGACCACCTCAAATAGCTAGAGCAGTGATTCTCAACCACTGTGCCGCGGCATTTTAGTGTGCCACGAGACTTTTGAAGTGTGCCGTCACTGCGAATGTCCCATACATAAGCGACGTGAGACAAATATTTTAATCGGTTCTATCTTCCTAGGGTGCGTTTGGAAATTGTAACCAGTGTTACCGGAAACTGCCGATAGTTACTAAGACGTTTAGAAAATGTGATCTAAATAACCAACTGCATTTAAAAATCACTGTTAAGATGTCACCGGTTGTCCTACGGTACTTACTGAAGTAAGCGTGTGTGCCGCCAAATTTTTAAATTATTAAAATTGTACCGTGACGAAAAAAAGGTTGAGAATCACTGAGCTAGAGGCTGTAGAAATATATAAGGTGCACACTTCATCTGAATGCATTAATTCTCGGGAGGAAATGGCTCTTTCATTGGCTTGGCAGGCCATATTGCATAGTGATTCTTAAGGATTGACTTAATATCTGATGATGTGCGGGGATACGTAATGTCAAGCGTAAGAATATTGCATCGTATGAAAAAAGAAAATACATGCGGATTAGAAGATTTAATGCAAATCTGAACAGTGGAGAACACATGTACAATGCATGCGCGATGGACACTGGGCAATCAAACTATCATCGTTTTATTTCTATTTTATTTTAAAATTTCATAACGGTGTTCCAGAATAAAAAAAATCCAGCTAGAATACCTGAGGAAGAACACAAAAGGAGTTCGGAAAATGTTTGTGCTTTAGAGTTTTACCATTTCACATTGGCTTAAGTAAGTGGAATTTTTATCATAATTTCTTTGCAAGCCTGCACCAGAGGTTAGCTGTTTCTGTGTACATCACCACTTCAGGAAAGCATTTCCAACCCTGCATTGCTATATGATTCCAAGTTGTTGGGATGCACCCTACCCCTCTTAGAAGTTCTGAAACGTTTAACTGAGACATCCTGTATATGTAATGAAATAATACAAAATTTGAATACATATTACTTACCATAAACATCTGTTAAGTAATAATGCTTTGGATCATCGTAAATGTGAAAAGCTCTAAGAGCAGCGCCCTAGAATTGAAAACCATTTAATGTTATATATTTTCATCTATTTTATAAAAAATGTTTATACAACATCTAACATACAATTATTTGTTCCCTTGTTGCACTTCTTGATACTGATATTGTTCTATACAATTTTCTTTTCATAGATCCATTACCATCATAGACTTTAATGAGCTCTATACAATTGTAAATAATTATATATTTTAATTGCACAATTGTAAAAAACAATATTATTTTTAAACCTCTTTAAATTTATTATATTTACCTTCATCTTTATCCTTTTCTTTAGGAGAAGGATAATCATCAAATTCCTTATTTTTTAAATCACTTGTTGAGGAGAATTCTTCAGATATACTACGTGCTACATAATGAGAGGAAACTATGAAAATATTAGATTAATTTTGTTTCACTATCAAAATTTCATATTAAATATCAAATTTAATTTTAAATTGACTCAAAAAAATTTAAAAAATACATTTAAAATCCAGAAATTTATATTTAAATTGGATTAATTTATTCAAATATTTAGTGCTGAAAATTAAATCAAATTCATATTTAATTATAAATTCTTAATGTTAGCATATTAAATTAGGCTAGTTAATTTTAAAATACATTTAATTTATAAAAATTTTTTATTATAATTTATTTGCAATTACAGTATATTCTTACACAAATATCAAACAAACAGCATTATTCCTTTATTAAGCTATTAAGGCTAAATAATTATCAAAACAAACAGCTGAATTCCTTTATTATCCCTGAATTTTGAACTTCAAGATCTGTGTTGTCTTCAGTTTCAATGTTACCTTCTTGACTTGTCTCTAGACTGTCCACTTATCTGCTTGTAATTTCTTTGTCATCTATATCAATATAGGCTTCTACTTTGAATTTTGATTTTTTTGTCTTTTGAGCATTTATTTTAAGAGGAAACATGCTCTCTTCAAATTCAACAACACAATTTACTGTAATTTTATGTTTAGTTCTGTCCCACAACTTAAATCCTTTCATATCATAAGCATATCCAATGAAAATACACTCTTTAACACATTTGTTAAGCTTCCCTTTTACTTTTGGAACATGTTGCCATGCTTGACATCCAAAAACTCACAAGTCTTGGAATGATGCCTTGTGCTGAAACATTATTTTGTACAGTATACAATTGCAAGTGCCTGTTGTAATGATTCTATTTCTGATACAGTTGGCTGTGTTAATTGCCCACTGTATCTTTAATATACAGTCATACCCTGACTTACGCTACCCCGACTTACGCAAACCCGGAGTTACGCGATTTTCAAATCTCGTCAATTCATCTTTTGTTTGAGCGCCACGCAACTCTTAATTACTCATTTCCCCCCACACTATTGTTCGGCTTACATGTTCGAACGTGTTCGACATATAGCTACATAGCTACAATTTATTTTGTGTAATTTATTTCTGTTTGTTATATCTATGGACATACCCTGACTTACGCTACCCCGACTTACGCAAACCCGGAGTTACGCGATTTTCAAATCTCGTCAATTCATCTTTTGTTTGAGCGCCATGCAACCCTTCATTACTCACTCTCCCCACACTATTGTTCGGCTTACATGTTTGAATGTGTCGCGCGGAATCGATGCATAGCTACAATTTATTTTGTGTAATTTATTTCTGTTTGTTATATCTATGGAGACTTGAGAGACTGTATGTGGTGATTTCTTGTAACCGTGAACGAACCAAAAGGCGAGATAAGATTGACAAAAACATTTATTAGCTTACATACATCCGACTTGGATTTTACACAAAAGGCATCTGCAATCGTAAACAATTGACAAAAAAAGTATACATTTATCAGATAATAAACAAAGACTCATTTTGTAAACAATTTACCTTTTTTATATACAACTGACAAGATTACCTTTCAAATTATAAACAGACTCGATCTCAAGCAGTCTTTTGATCGTCGGACATACAAAAGAAATGAACAGATGGCGCCTAACTTAAGCGCGGTTTACAATAACGAATATGATTAATCTTAACACTCTACTATGTCATCCAAACGAAGTAGAACTGATTCTTCTGCATCAAACAAGAAAAGAAAAACTTTATCTTTGGAATGTAAAGTTAACATTATTAAAGACTTCGATACAAAAATGAAAATTTGTGAATTGGCAAAGAAGTTTGATCTACCAGAATCGACGGTCAGAACAACTATAAAAGGTAAAGAAAAAATGCTCAATCTTTAAATTCAAGCATCATTCGTAAACGTCACAGTATTATCGCTGAGATGGAAACAATGTTAAAATTATGGTTTGATAATCAAGTTAATGTGAAAAATTGTATAATAATATAATTCGTTATACGTATGTATTATCTAAGATTTTATTAAACATTTTTTTTTCTAAATTATTGTTTTCTTTAGTCTCCGGTCCCAATTAAAAATAATTTGTATGTATTTATATACAAAATTATACCCTGACTTAAGCGGTTATCGCTCGGTCCCACCTATCGCGTAAGTCCGGGGTATGACTGTATTTGCTTCAATAATTATGCATCTTGCCATTTGTGTGAGACTGATTCAGATGTTCAGACACTCCACTTTTTTTGAGTGTGCATGATGTCATTTCTTCTAGTATTCTTACATCACATTTACATCATATTTTGCTATTGGGTATTATAGTATTCTATACCATTGTCTCTCTATATTTGTTGTATACTTTTTTACCAATCTCTATTTCAGCCATCCTCTTAAATTCAATGAAATTCTTATTTACTTCATCTTTTATTTTTAGGACACATACCCATATATTTGTAGTTAAGTTATCAACAAAGATAAATATGTTCTTTGCCTTGCTTTTTGACAAAGGATTTATTGATCGCATTTTATATTTTGACATGAGATTTTTGCTTACTTTTTCCTTTTAGACACATTGTACCTCTTTCATCATTGTTCTTGGTAACATCACCATCAAGATACTTTACCATTTCATTAACTTTCTTATGCACGCCTTAATCTATAATGGATTATGTTCATGTCTATTACTGTTTTCACCATATATTCTTCTTCTTATACTTTGTTTAGTCTTCTATCACAGTCATGAAAATTTTCATTTTTGTCTAAAGTAGTCAAACAATCATCTTTAAAAAGCAGGTTGATACTTTTCTGTTAAACATCAATACTCATTAAGTTGTTTTCAAGTGTGCTTAGAATATTTCATGTACTATGTGAAATTTTGCCTAGAGCAATTTTACCTCTAGACAAAATTGTTCTATATCTAATTATTAATTGTAGCCATAACACAGTCTAACACAATCCAGCAGACTATTTGGTATTAATCAAGAATTAGGTTATTTGATGTTTATATTTGTATATATATATATACTATATATATAATTCCAGATAAAGTGATAGCCAGTTATTTGCCACAGAGAGCTTATTAAGTGAATATTGAAGGTATCCCCAGTCAGTCACATGAATAATTTGTAGTTATATATAAATTATTAATAATTTCTGGTGGTGAAGATTGGATCAAGGCTTGGGTAACATAACTCGCAAAACGTCTGCACAGTAAGCAGGAGATGTGAGTTTGAGGTATGTTATGAGTCAATTCTTTTCTTCCAAAATATTCTAAAGTAAATATTAATTTATTTATAATTATAATATAGCCTGATATAATCCAGCAGATCATTTGATATTGACATTATCACATACCTTGACTATGTTCACTTTCTCATCTGCTACTGATATTACAAACTTGTATTTTGTAGAATTGCTAGACTTTTCTGTTTGATAACATGTGTTTATTCACCCCACAGTTTTTATACCATATCAGATGTGGTATGTTCTTGTCTCTTGTGCATATGTTGCAACACTCAAATTGATATTTAACTTTCAAATACATGGCTCATATACAGCTTTTTTGTTTATTTGCTGCAACTTTGGAATATGGCATTGGGTTATCATACTGTTTATTTTCATTACTCTATATTCTGTCTTCCCTGATGTTTTCTCTGGATGTGTTATGCCACTCTCAAGCATAGTGACCACATTATCCACAGCAGTGACACTTAATCTTTATTCTTTACTATTGTCTTGTTTACTTGCTTTTATCATTTTGCTTTTCTTACTACTGTGAAGTAGTAAGAATACTTTCATTTCCCAATCTTTAATACTTTCATTTCCCAATCTTCATTTTCTTCAATTTGTTTATGATGCTTTATTTGTTTTTCTTCAAACAGTAGTTTTATTTTTACTTCTTTTGTCTCTAGATTATCTTCATTTTGTTCCAGTGTTCTCATTAATTGATCATACTAAGATGGCAAACCAATGAATATGATAAACCCCTGTTCCTTTTTGAGAAATCCCATTCCAATATTGTGTAACATTAAATTTATACCTTTTCCATTTTCAACCCAGTGTTTATAGTGAGTCTCCACTATACTGGGAATTGGTCATTTTTCAGGTTTAACTAATGAGCTGGCTGTACAGTTTTTCGGGTTCCTTCACATGTTTAATTACCCAAATATGGGCCATTTTTCGTTCAAAGTCATCCTGGAAGGCACATGACTGGCATACAAACCTGCAGAGTATGGTCAGCATCTCATTTCCAAATTTTGTTCTATTTCAAATTGCTGTGGTTGATCTTCAGTATATTATCCACTGTTGCAATTCCTTCCTCCATACTGCAGCTTTGTGTAAACCAGTTGCTTTTGGTTAGTTAGGCACTATCCACTCTTCTTTCCATCTTTAATTACATATTTAAATTTTACATATAGTAGTGAGTATTGTGGCTGCCTGCCATATTGTTTGTTTTATTTTTACATCTAACGTCTTCCCCTTCGTTCTTTGTTCTCTCTTTTTTAAGAACTTTCTGTCTCCTTTTGTTCTTTCATGTCAACAAGAGGGGAGCATTCCTGGAACCATTGGGAAGTCATGTGGAATGTTAGAAAGAAAGTCACAAGCCACTTTTTGCTTAACCATCAGAAGAAGATGTACTTTCTTTTGTTCAAGCTGAGAAAAGGACCAGCAGTGCTAGGAGCAGAGTCAAATGAAAAGAGGTGACAGGTGACCCAAGTGTAGTCCCTGGATTGTGTAGTGAACTCTTGTGACAAATAGAAAAGAAAAGGAGAAAAGGAAGACATCAAAGCATATTGCACGTAAAGAAAGAAGTAGAACTTTATACAAAGACTTCCTGGTGGACCCCCTCTTCATTGGAAAGGAACATCATTCAATCACAAAGAAAAAATATCCTGGGTACTTCTATCCTTATTCTATCTATATCCTCTAAAATTCAGAATCTTTAAATTTAGTTATAATATCTGAAATTAATTATAATAAATTCATTATTCTATTTTAATTTAATAGTAAACTTCTAAAGCATACATAAATTAAATGTTTAATTTATACATGCACAATAAATATGTATGGTAACAAAGTTATTGTTAATGAAACATAAACTTCAAACTTAATTATACAATATAATTAGTGGTGGATCCAGAAAAAAAAAACAGAAGAGGCACCATTATACAAATATATTGTTACTAGCTGTTACCCGCGACTTTGCATGCAAGGATTTTGCAAGCAAACCCCATTTATATTCAGTATTTCAACAACCATAGTGATTGTTATATAACACCTACTGCTGAGAATGATGAGAATTGCTGAGAATCAAACAAACTATTTTCAATTTGATCAATTTTCTGGAACGTTTATAATCGTTCTATAATTGAATCAATATGCAATAACAAATTCGAATTTAAAACAGTTCAAACATTTTAAAAATCGAAACAGATAAAAATATTTATAACAATGTCTGAAATGTTTAATAAACATTTAACACCTTATAACACTGAGAAATATTTATTAAAACACAAACGTTTTCAGCCTAATGGAATAGGCCATCATCAGGTGACAGGTTATCAAACAACTTTGAAAATTGCGTTAAACGAAACTTTCGAACATTACAAATTCAAAATTAAAACGTAAAATAAATTAGCCAATCACTATACAAAATAACTATAATAAATAGATTGAACCCATATTAATATAAATAATAAAATAAGGTGATATAAAACTAAAAAGAATAAACCTAGAAGATTAAATGCACAAAAGGATTAAATTCATAAAAATATATATATCAAAAAGCATCACATTAATTAAAAAGGCAGATAGGAACTAAGAATTTGTGTGTTTTAACTTTTCTTTTACAAAGAACTTCCATGCCAAAGCTAAACCATCAGCATCCCTTGCATTGATACAGCCATCCCTTAATTTACTCTTATAAATTTCAATTTTTTCATGTTGCAAAGCCAACGATGGGGATTGTAACATCTAGAGAATAGATGCTTCATTCCATTTAACTACTGAATTCTCTGCTTGTGCCATACTTGATATATATATTTTTATGAATTTAATCCTTTTGTGCATTTAATCTTTTAGGTTTATTTTTGTTTTTAGTTTTATATCACCTTATTTTATTATTTATATTAATATGGGTTCAATCTATTTATTATAGTTATTTTGTATAGTGATTGGCTAATTTATTTTACGTTTTAATTTTGAATTTGTAATGTTCAAAAGTTTCGTTTAACGCAATTTTCAAAGTTGTTCGATAGCCTGTCACCTGATGATGGCCTATTCCATTAGGCTGAAAACGTTTGTGTTTTAATAAATATTTCTCAGCATTATAAGGTGTTAAATGTTTATTAAATGTTTTAAAAGAAGCTGAGTTGATATTCAATTTATTGTCTGAAATGTTATTAATTTAATACACCTAAGTACTCAATGAAGACTAAATCCTTTCCCTCTCCCCCCGAAGGAGAATTTCGAAAAATCCAATTCTTAGTGTGCATTGCCATGGCATACCCTACTAAAACGCAGATAAAACAAAAAATTGCATCTAAAATAGTACAGTAGAAGCCATTCTTCCAGTTAAGCCTTAATGCCCTCCCTCTCCTCCCCGCAGGGGAATTTCGAAAAATCCCTTCTTAGTGTGCATTTTCATGACATACCCTAACTGTGTACCAAATTTCACCTCTTTAGGTTCAGCAGTTTGCTCTAGGCAATGATGAATCAGTGAGTGAGTCATTCAGTCAGTCAGGACAAGCAATTTTATATATATAGATTAAATCCATCTAAAAATGTTCATTTTTTTATATGGTCCAATTACCAATTTTAAAAAATTAATTTTTAAAAAAATGTATAAAAATAGTTTATATAAAATCAGCTGAGGGTATATGAAATAATTGGTGTATATTTTCTGGAAAAAGACAAGAGGATAGTGATCTCAGTGCCCCTATCTTGAATCCATGCCTCAAAATAATATATTTTCATTTTTCAAAATGCTATTTCACAGAAAAAATAAAAATATTTGGCATTTTTTTATTTTTACATTGTGTATAGAACAATAGAAATTAGTTTTTTTCAAATTCAGTGGAGATTTGAAAATTCATAGTTCTTTCCATATTTCTTTTGCATAACAATGAGCTAACATATACTCTTCACAAATGCAAGTTTTTGTTATTTCAGAGCAGCTCACTTGACTAAAAATCCAAATAAACTAACTGATACATTGCCTATCCAATTTCAACAACTGTTATAAACTCAATTTCATTAACTTTAGGAAATCTATGTTATTCTTAAGATTATAACAATATCAATGTATATTTTATTTTATTTTTTTATCTACAATTTTATCAAATTTTTAAGATATAGTTTGGATATTTACGAGAAGTGGTCTCTCTTCTCCGTGACTGCACTCCTATGATTGTTTCTAAAGGGACATCTGTACGAGGTATAATCACACAACTAGGAGGAAGCATTATACTTTGTACTACACCAAAGTTACACTCTGGAGGTATGTTCTTATAACATGTTGCATGAGACTGAAAAGAAAAAAACAAAATATTTTTAATTAGGTATATATTTATTGAAATAATAATTTTTAAATCATGTTTCTTTACAGATATACATAGTTTATATATACTCAAATAATAGTTTCATATTAATTCCACAAAATTTCACATAAAATTTTATTAAAAAGGTCTACTTAATTCTGAATAGAAAAACATTTTCATTTACAATTTTAAGCTTCATTTTTACATAAATGAAAAATAATTTTGATAAATCAAAAAATTTATAAATCATTCAAATTTAATTAAAGCACATTTTATGTTATCTATTTAATGTACTATAAAACATATATAAAAAATCAACTTACAAAATTACAAAAAAATCAATAGTGTCCTGTGAGTCAAATTCAACTAATTTTGACAGTTTTGGCTCATTGCTGAATATACTGTATCCTTATATTATACAAACAGTCATAATTCATTTCAGAAAATAATATATTTGTATTTTCTCTAAGTATGAATCAGCATAATATGTTACTAATATTCCTACTTATGAATTTTTTCAATAAACCGTACTGAAATTATTGAAATAAAATATATGTATTAAAATAATTTAATGGATAATACATACAATTTAATTTATAATATTGTCAAGTGCTTTTCAATTTCTCATCTTAAGATTGAATTTTAAGTGTTCAAAAAACTTTCAAATAATATACAGGCATAGTTTTTGTTAATCAATACTCAATACAAAATTATTATATTTTTTATAAGATATGTTGAATATGATGTCAATTCTTAATTATCAAAATTTTTAGCTACTTTCTATAGATTTTTACAAGGTTTTAATGTATCATGATTTTATGTGGCTAACTTGCAGTAGCATACAGCCTGAAGAAACTTGTTAGAATAAAAATACACCCTGTATATTTCAGGTCTTTGTAGCAGCAATTGAAAGCAAGCCATTTAGAAGAAATTACCTCAAACACTAAAATGTTTTTTAAATTACATTTTATTGTAGATGTACAGTAGACCCCCCTATAACACAGGTTCATATAATGCAGATTCGTATATTGTGGCGAAAAAATTGCAACTGTATTCATATAAAGACATTAAAAGAGACTTGTAAAATGTGGTAAAACGTCATTGCCGACTCATGTCGAGACAGGATTGGTCGAATCTGGACCAATAGTGGACAAGCAGCCGAACTACTTACAAGCTACAGAGAGTTTAGGCGGGTAAGTTGAGTTTACTATCGTCTGTACAGTATATAAATTAGGTACTGTAAGTCTAATACAGTACTGTAATTTTATACATTTCTTGAAAAAAAAAATATTTCTTATTCAATGGCCATAAAAATTATTTCTATTAATGATGTCTCCAATGTTCAATGAATTTTTCGTAAAAAAATAACTTATTAGAAAACGCACTTGCCGTTTGGTGCGCTGTTCTGCGACGAAAACAAGCTTAAGCAATGGCGTCGTCGAACTGTGCACACTTGGTAAGTAATCCTACAATTTTTTGTTTATAGCATAGTTTATACGGATTATTCCCAAAAATTATACGTGTTTTGGAAATGTTGATTCAAATTAGTCTAGAATCGATTAATTTTATGGAAGAAAACCTTTCAAACAGCCGTAGTCCATAAACTGCACACGTGCTGGGCTGTGATTGGCTCATATATTTAAGAATTCCTTCAACACGAAATTCTTATAAAGTGGAACATATCTACCGCGTTATAGGGGGGATCGACTGTAGTTATAAAATAAGTGAGATAGAAAAAAATAAAAAAAATGCATAATGAGAGGAAACCACCTAACTTTACATATAAAAGACACAAATTACTACTAAACAACAAAATTTTTTATCACATTCATTTCTGTTTTAGTTATCAAATAATATTAATAAAATATAACAATAATTGTTAAAAGAAACTAAAAAATATTAAATAGAAAATAATTTTATTATCCATAATATCCAATGACATGGTTTTGAAAGTCAACTGCTTGGCTGTTCTTCACTGTAAAGAACTCTAAGCTAGTTCAGACAGACCAAGGCTTTCCAATGGGGTCAATATCAACTTTTTAGGAGTTGATAAAAGTTTGAAAGAGAATCAATGAGCAAATTAGATACATATTATATATATATATATATATATAAATTTTAATTAGTGATGATGGACCAAATAGAACTATTTTGCCAAATACTAAATATTCTTGCCTTTCTTAATTAAAACCTTTTTTGCCTTAACAACTAAATACCAAATATTCAGTCAAATAGATGTTTTACAGAACTGCATGAAATAAAAGGCTTATATCAGTGTTTTCCAAACTTTTCCAGACTACCATCCCATTTTAGTGTATATACGAAAATTATACTGAAAGTCACAAGCAACAATTTTTTATAAATAAGATTAATTTATTTTTGGAAAAACAAATACCATATATCTGCGAAGATAAGATGATAGTTAAATCATAAAAAAAGGGCCCCCAAAATCTGGGGTCATCTTATAAGAAAGATACAAAAAAAAATAGATTGAAATTTATATAAATTAAAACCATTATAAAATAAAACAAATCACTCACCAATTTAAATACAAAAAATTTAAACAGCCCAACTTCGTATGGGCTATTTAAATTTTTTGTATTTAAATAGCCCATACGAAGTTTTTGTGAATAGTCAAGGTCATTACCCAAATGCCCGAATCAGTGCAAATATTTGCAATAATCGCAAGACAGTACTGTCAGATGCAAGAAAATAAAATTTGTTCATTCGAAAAATTACAAATAGGACATAATTCCGTATATGCTATGCAGTATTATTATTCAGATGATGATCACTGATCTAAACTAAATTCATAGGCTGTTGATAGTTTAAAAGCCATCTTATAGAACAGATATATGCTAAAACTATAAAATTTTGACAAAAATTTATACCTCATCTTATCTGAAGGTCGTCTTATCTGCGCAGATATATAGTACAATAATTTATTAAATCCTGGAACTATCTTATAAACATGAAAATTTATACCTTTCTCTCAATTTTCAGCATTCACTGTTTAAAAAACAAACCTTTTTGGCCATATTCAGAGGCCTGCATTAGGTTAAACAGATTCTCTATCAAACATCTACAACAGGTTTGAAGTTTGGAATAATACCATTTTTCTTTGATGTAATTGTTTTTGAATTAATATATAATATATTTACATAAATATTAATATAGTTTTAACAAATTAAATTAATAATTGCAAACAAAAATATTAATATGACTCTTAATTTATATTATTATTTTTTGGCTTTTATTATTTATTAAACTTATTTTGCAAAATTTAAAATTAAAATTATTGCATGTATGGTTGCTGCTATTGGTTGGTTGCTATGGTTGTTGCTAATGGTTGGTTGCTGCTATTTTTTAAAAGATTATCTAATATAGATGGCCACGTCTTGGATATAAATATAGATTCTTTATTGTTATTGCAGCTTCCTTTACGTGTTGTGGCAAATATTTCAAATGTATCCATGGTTCTTATTTTACGGTTATCAAATGTGTATTTTAAACGCTTTGCTTCTGCCCATCCTAGAGACACCTCTTGCTCACTTGCATATTGTGCTAGAGCTGTATTACATTTGTTTTTACTAATATTGTATTGATGCTCTTTAAATCTTTGTGCCAAGGATCTGTTTGTGGGCCTATACTATCATCATTTAATTGTTTGGTTATGATCTTGTAAGTTGTACTGAATCTAGGATCATAGTCATAGTCAACTACTATGCATTTATGATTTTGAATTTTTGGTAGTTGTGTTCCTAGCTGATATCTTTTTAAGATTTTCTTCTATGGTACATGCTAATGTAGACATTAGTTTACTACTGTAACCATACTTTACAGCAAGACATTTTATATGTTCTAACTCTTGCATAGTGTCTTTGATATTAGAGCAATGCATATATTGCTACTTTGGAAGAAAACTGGCACAACTCAAAATTACTAGTTTTGAGGAAATCCCATGCAAAGATTTAACCAAAGTTTAACTGAATATCGCTTATCTCCCACATAACTGCTCCCTAGTGGCTGAATACGCAAGTTACTTTTGTGACACAATTCCACATAAAAATTTACTACATTTTTGTTTTGATTATGACATATTTGAAAAATTACAATTTTGAGTTTCTTCCAAAGTAGTGATATGCTACTTTGGAAGAAAACCGGCATAACTCAAAAAAGCATTATTAGCACCCTAAATGCTGCCACCTTATAAATGTAGGAATCATTAGATGCTGATGGTATGAAAAGAGGGTGTTAATTAGGTTTCTCTTTTTCAAACTGTCTTTTAAATGTACACGACTCGCAGGCTATTGAAAGAAAATGACTATAATTATATTTTTAAAATATTTAAGTTTTTTAAATATGCAAAGATATTTATAACAAAAAGCAAGTAAAAGCTACACAATATGCATATTTTATTATATTAAACTTTTGAAAATAATTATCTTGTGTTTAAATAATTTATTGTAATTAATTACATTTTAGCACAAAATATTTCTTAAATAGACCTAGTGATTAAAATATACACTTCTAAATTTATTTTCTATTATTTTTAACTTTTGTATTTATTATGAAGTTTACAGCAATAAATATTTAAAACTGATTTCATTTTTGTTAACACAGATATACCTCAACTTATGACTCCTCAAGATATGACTATTTGAAATTACAGCAGTCATTGCATAAAGCAACTATATTGGCAATGAAAGGCATATACTGATGAAACAAAACAAAGCAATTATCCTACAAGTAATATAACTGTACATGTAAACTCGTATTCTCTATAATACATTTTATAATAGCTACAATAAAAGGCTTTATTAAACATGTTGTATACTTTTGTCATTACTAACATTAATTACTGTTTATAGTCACCTAAGCATAAAAATCAATCAATGAGTTGCTTAACTTTCCTGGCAACATTTAAAACTGCATATGTGGATCTGTTATATTTTATTATTAAAAACTTTTTATATTTTTAATTATTATAAAATGGCAAAAAGCTTAATTTTGAGGGTAGAAATGTAAAAAAATTTATAAAAAATTGTAAATGCTAATAATAAGTAAAATCTTCATTAAGTCTGACCTTACTTGAGATATGACACATGATCTTCTTTATCTCTCCATCTCCTCTACCTTTAACCAACCAAAATTTAATAGCATAAATCTCTCTAATACACAAACCTCCCTGCAAAATTTCAGAAATTTTTGACAAAAAGCACAGAAGCCATTAAGCTTCAAAGAGAATGAACAAAATTGTACCCCCCCACACACACATCTACTGAAACAAAAAAATCCCTGAATTTTTTTGCATTTCTCAACATTTCAAGGTCCTCCAAGTTCAAAAATGTAACAATCTTAGGGGTTATATTTTGACCAATCACCAATTCCCTATGTTATGTATAATAGAATGTATGGAAAATTATGTATAGCAGAGCCAGGAAAGTAAAAATGTCTCACAGTATGATACTTCTGTAACAATGACATGATTTCTCTTTCACTGTATGACATCATTTCATTTTCAGATACCATATTTTTGCAGATTGTCTATCCAGAAGAGATCATAAAATCAGATACTGTACTTCCATATGGTAAAATCCGGCACACTGGCATGCTGGTTTAAGTGAAGTTATACATCCCTCTCTAGTGGGTGCATAAAAAAATGAACAAGTTTTTATTCTAAAACTATGATACTGTCAGCATTAAATCAAAAACTTCAATTATAGGTTTAATTTCTGCATTTTGTCTTCTTCCTAACAATGTAAGATAGTTTTGGGATGCCAAAAATGCTTTTTTATGTTCATTTTATTGTAATTTGATCCAAAAATGCAAAAAGAAACATATCAAATTTCAGAAATGCACTGTAAATTATCTCAGCTTACACCAATTAGCATCAGCTTCCTGTAAAATCTGAGAGGAAAGTATTATTTTTAAGATCAGAATAGACTGTCAATGCAGCTGGCACTATTACTATAACTAATGTCAATAAGATGCTAATTGTTTTATTGCACTGTAAACAAAAACTTTCTTTCCAATTTTAAGTCTGTCCAATGGAAGAATGTTTTCTTTAACATTTATTTAACAATTAATTTTGTTAGATCTAATTAATTTTATTTTTAGTCACAGTTTAACCCACATTGCTGGTCAATCTGCTAAAGTACAGTACTATGTCAAACTTATTACCAAATGAACTTACAAGGGTAGTTGGAACAGAAACATGTTGTAAGTCAAGGTATATCAGTATTTTAAAATTTTTATATATTATTAACTAGCTGTACCCATATAATAGATATATTTTGAGCCATACATTGCTGTGGCTCAAAATGTATCTATTATAAATGTATAACACTCCCCGTGGGAGGGAAATTCAAAAAATTCCTTTTTAGTGTACATTCTCTTGACGTACCCTATTAAAATGCAAAAAACCGCACCTAAAATAATATAATAGAAGACCAGTTCTTCACGGTAAACCTTAATTTTGTTCTGCTCCCCCATGGAAAAAATTTTGACATCTATATGCAGTAGAGCATCGTTTATCCGAAAGTCAGTTATCCGAAAGAATTCCAGTCGGCAAATTTAAATTTTCGCTAGTGCTGTGGCGCTGCAATCTTTGGCTATATCTTGGGCTACTCCAATATTTTTCTTGTTGGTGTGTGTGTTTTAGCTGGCAGTACTGGCACTTTTGTGTGGTGTTTTTGTGAGGACTGTGTCGTGCTGAATTGACTGTTTTTGATTCTAGATTAACTTCTAAAATATATTTTTTTGGTTTTTATATTTTTCAATATATTTATTTTGTTTGTAAAAAATAAAAAAATAATTTTTAATGATACAATAGCCACAATTATTATTTTAAAAAGTTTACATTAGGCTTAACATCAACAAAAATTCAACACGAAGCGACATGCAACGGAGAAAAATTTCAACACGGGATAGGTTAATATATTTTTTTCGTATATAATCGGTTATCCGAAAAATAAGTTATCCGAACAACCCCAGTTCCTAATTGATTCGGATAAACGACGCTCTACTGTAATATTAAAAAAACGCACATATTTGAATGCAATGTTGTGTCAAAATTTCAAAGTAATCAGTTAAGAACTTTCAGAAATTTAAGATTTTGAACAAACAAACATTTACATTTTTATTTATATAGATTATTTGATTAACTTACAGTAAGTCCACACCATTCACATCGCATTCCAGTTAAACATTCTGCTGACCAACATGTCTTCTTACAAAAATGACATTTTGAATTTCCAGGAAGATTTCCTTCTCTCCAATGATGATATTGCACTAAAGGCTAGAAATATATATAATTATTAATTAAATTACAATGTTTTCATCTATAAAATTTTATAGCTTAAATAACACACAAAAAACTGGATGTTTATTAAAATAAACAAACAAATATTTATTGTGAAATAGCCACAATGCCAGACTGCAATTTTTAATAATATTTTTAATGTATTTAATTTAATATGTATTCTCTCCCCTCTCAAATTAATAGTGGCTTGCCCCTATACATCACACTTTTCCTTTAACAATACATGCTGATCATCTAAAACCTTTCAGGGAAAAATTTTGAATTGAAATAACATGACTTTTGGTTTGCATCAGATGTTCATAAATAGTTAATCGGAGCCTCCTGCCCCTAAGCTTTCAATATCTGGTCTCATCTTTCATCTATCTAACTCTGTTCTCAAGAGTAAGGAAAGATGGACAGACAAATGGATGACAGTGGAAATTCATAGGTCTATAATTTTTCTTGAATTGCAGCCCAACAACAAAAATATCAAAAGTCTAGCAAAAAAATACTTATTTAATAAGTAAACGAATGATTTTGACTATTTTTAATGGTCATCATAAGGTTAATATATTCTAAAAAAGAACACAAGATAGAAAACTGGCACACAAACTGGAAATATATACTAAAACAACCACTTCACACCTAAACGATAATTCCAACAAATGAACAACAAAAAAATTTTAATGTGCAAATGTTTTTGGCCATCTTTCAGAGGCCCTCATCAGGAAAAATTGCAGAGAATAGAAAAACAGTTCTATCTTTTTAACAGTTTTCGAATATAGCTGTGTTCTAATTTTTAAGATTTAAACAATGTTGAATACAAAGAATCGTTATGTATTACAACATATAATTGAAATATTTACAAATAAAGTTATAAATAAATACAATAATAATATATATGGTGTTAATATGTAAAATAATATATATGGTGACGTTTGAACATTAAAATTTTTTTGTTGTTCATTTGCTAAAATTATCATTTAGGTGTGAATGGTTGTTTTAACACAAGATAGAACATATATTTAAAAAATAAAGAACTGTACATGTAATTGGACCAGAGGCGTAACTACTGTGGAGTAGTTGGAGCAAACTGCTCCAGACAAATCATGAGAGCGCCAAGTTAAAAAAAGCAAAATAAAAACATTTGTAAAAAAAATTGTGTGGATTTAATAATTAATCAATTAACTATTAGATTTCAATCCATTCAACAATTATGTTCACTTTTTAAGGGCTTATCACTTGCATATCTTGTCACGTCATCTGATAAAAATATTCTGGAAGGACAGAATTGTTACAATCAGCATATCCCTCCAACATTTCGCCTAGTTTTGGACTTCAACTGTTTCAACTTTAAAATGTGTTTTTATACACAGGTAAAAGTAATTACTTCTATATGCAAAGTTGCCGAACTACTTTTAATTCACACTGCAGCCTCAAGTAACTTCTCTGACATTATTTCAGCATGCCTCATTTTTTTAACTTTACAGATGATGACAGCAACAGCATAACAAAGTTTTTCAAAATGAAAATAATCAAAACTTATTCAAGAAACAGCATGTCGCAACACTGTCTTATCTCTGGCTACTATATCAATTGAAAAAACAATAGCTTGTTAACTTGATCTGGAGAAAGTGATTGACTGATTTGCAAATGAAAAAATGAGAAAACAACAATTTTGAAGTTTTTTTTAAATATTTATTATATATTTTTTATGAATGTAAACTTGCATACATTTTATCAATACAGTTTATATAATATGTGGTAAATATTATTAGGTACTCCATACTTAAAGAATTATATTTTGTTTTATTATTATATTTATATTTATTAAATTAAATATCTTATTGTTGAAATGCCTCGAATCTCAAATAAATTGTTATTAAGTAGGGTTTTAAATCGAGATAATTAGGTATATGTTTTTAAATTAAATGTTCAAAATAAATTTTGCAAGATCTCTTTCAAGGAATAAGGAGCGCACTGATTCTACTTGCTCCAGGATGCTGAATATGTAGCTATGCCACTGAATTGGACACTTGCTGTGTGTATGGAGACAGCTGCTTACGCAGTTAGAACAAATTGAATAAACTCCACAAAAATGAAAATTAATATAATATACATTAAGTAGTGAACTTCCTTCAGGAGACTTCAAGAAATAATTTCTATGCAAAGGAGATAATGTCAACATTCTTATAGTTTATGGCAATGGCCTTTCTAGCTATCTTATATATTTTCAGTCTTTCTAAATGTTTGAAACAGGCTCTATTGGCAGTATGATGTATAAGCTGGGCATGGTTCAAAGAAACATGGATCTTGTTGTTAGATGCAAAGGCAGCATAACACATTCTTTTTTATTTTATGTCAATTTCATATTCTTTAGTCACTTGTTTAACAATTCGGTTGTCGCTCCAATGTTGGACACTGTTATCAATGATGGAAATGGAGTAAGCACCTTTGGTAGTTACTTCCTAACAGGAAGGTCCTTAACTTTCTTAAGTAATAAAAACCTATTGGACTTCTGTTATATGAAGGATTGACGTTGTTGATTTTGACTATTTCTTTATTGATGGTAGAAAGCTTACTATTGTATTCTATAGCCTTGTATATTCTATCCTGCTTTACTCCATGCCTTTTCTGTGCATCATGATGTAGAATGAGGCCTTTGACAATGTTTGGTAAATAGCTATGTAGGATGGATAAATGGTAAATGTATTTGAGTTCTTCCTCTTTTTCCTGTGCAAAGGCAGAATAGGAGAAGGCTCTTTTGACAAGGAAACAGAACACCACCACTTTGAACATGAAAGGATTGTGTGAAGTAGCAGAGATGAACAGAGGTCTGTAGGATGGTTTATGGAACATTGCTGTGGAGAAATGGACATTGCAGATTGTAAATTGGACATTGAGAAAATGTGCCTTGCTGTAACTTTCCTGCTCAGCATTAAGAAAAAATCCAAACGGGTTATCATTAAGCAAGTTGAGGAAGTCCAATTTAAAGATTCTTAATCTAACAAAAAATGGGGCCCCATTGAATTTCAATAAGCCTTAGGCCCCAAAAAACCTAAATCCGCCCCTGCACATAGGTTCAGTTTTTTTGCCAAATAATGTCATCATTGATGTACTGTACCTGGCGTAGAAAAGAATCTGGTCCTCAAAAGCAGGAAGGATTTTCTGTTTTAGTTGACACAAGACCAGCTCACATAGAGTGCCTGAGAGTGGGCTTCTGTTGAGGACACTCCTGTTTTGTAGATGCATAACACAAAGAAGAATGACATATGAGGTCAGCTAGCCAACGTTTCAGAGCTACTGAAATGTTGGATGATGCTTTGATGACTTGTAGATATTTGTAAGGAGGAAGTTGCCTAATTCACAGAAACAAGACTCAATTTTGATTGAGGGTATAGATATTGAAAATCACATACAGTAAGATATCAACCTTCTTGAACCATTAAATTTGTAGTTGTTGGATCAATGCCTCTGTATTATAGATCATGTATGGAGAGATGTCAAGGTTGTCATTTATGAACTTGATATCCCTTTCAATATGTATAGTCAATAAACAATATTTACTGTCTACTGGTCATAATTGTATGCCAAGCTTAAAATAAAAACTTTGGCAAACACAAATATCCATGGAGTAGAAGAGGCTGCCACTTTTGCCTTGTTTAACTTCAATATTTAATAAATACACATTTTTAACATCAGTTAAGTGTGATTTCTCTTCCATATATCATTCCTGGAGTGAAGTGAATATTGTTTTTGTCTATTATCAGCATGGAGACTGCCAAAGAGCACTTCTTTAGACTGTTGAACATCAGACTGTTGTGGCTAATACTGCAGGTACAACTATGGTTCCAGTTAAAGTGTTGAAAGAATAGTCTTATCCCCAGGTGTATTTCCATCAAGTATGATGTGTTCTCACAATGTGTTCATTCTTTGTTGCTCTGCATGGAGCAGAATCTCTTGAGACATTTAATTAAGAACAAGTAGATGATGATTGCAGAACCTGAGCTAAGATTGTACGTAGATCATTTGTCCTTTTCAAAAGTGTGTAGTCTGGAAAGTTTGAACAACTGGACAAAATAAGGTAATGTGCCAACAACAAAATGTGTAACACAAGGAAGAGCTTAAACAACAAATTTCATTGGTTATGTAGTGATCTGTCACTTAAATTAAATTGTTTTGTTTTTATTTTTTTTTTGTAAATGTTTTGCCTGTTCTGTTTGTGCTCGAGCACCACATTTTGTAAAACTCGCGGGACTGGATGATTGGTTGCAATTCGTGACGTCAACCACGGAGAAGTATAAAGGGAGGTGTCTCACCTAAAAGAAGGACTTTTTTGTTTCTTGCTCTTCGGACTGTGTCGGACATGTGGTATAAGTGAGGTGCGAGTGTTTAAGCACGTGGTTGAAAAGAGAAGAGAATGAACAGTTGGAAGAAAGAACAATAATCCAATTTCATCCAGATCTAGGAGCAAGACTTTGAAGTGAATAGCATATACATTCCTTCAAATTGAACGAAGGACACATGTAAGACAATTTGTTTGTTCTTTGTTGTACAATCACTAAAATTAGGTAGTAGAATAGAGAGTAGATATAGATACGTGTTAATGGTACTTAAGCCTGTGTAGGATATAGATATAAATTGTCGATATATCAATATGCCTGTAAGACTCCCGAAAAATTAAATCATATTTTTTCACCTGCAAAAATAAGAAGTGTAAAGTCCTTAATTTGGTTTGTGTTCATTGCCTATTACCCTCCACTGTACACTGTATACTCAGGTATAGCAGTAAATCTAATAGTTAGCTAATTCCACCTGACATAGGTGTAGAGTGCCAGCAGAGGTTCAGTATTACAACTTCACATCAGTAACAGTGCCGGATAAAGTTCACCGCATCCTATCTCAAGGCACAAAGTTTATTCCTACTAGTGCATGGATGTATGGGATGTGACAGTTTCTGAAAAGAGTGTTGGGTTCAAAAAATATATCAGTTTTCT